ACGTCACCTCAAACTCTATTAGTTTTATTTATGACCCTCAGAAGACTGGGCTGGGGCCTGGGGATGGACATAGAGGGACTAGATATCCCTACAGTTGAATGGGGGGGGGGGGGAATAGAGATGGGCAGAGAAGATTTAGCAGACGGAAGAGCGATATACGAATAATGCAAGGATGATAGAAAGAACATCTAAGAGACGGACGGGTCCTGCTTTCGTTGACATGAGCCAGGTGTGTGATGTGTGTGTGTGTGTGTGTTTGTGTTGTTGTGTGTGTGTTTGTGTGTTGGTGGTGTGTGTGTGTTGTTTGTGTGTGTGTGTGTGTGTGTGTGTGGTGTGTTGTATGGGGTGTGTGTGTGTGTGTGGTGTGTGTGTGTGTGTGGGGTGTGGTTGTGTGTGTTGTGTGTGTGTTTGTGTTGTGTGTGTGGTGTTGTGTTGTGTTGTGTTCATAACTTGCACCTCCTTCTCCGATTTTTCGCGGACACTCCGCATTTTCGTTCTTTTCGATTCTGACAAAATTCAGATTTACTCACGGACTGTTTCCACTACGGACTTTAATACAGCTACACCATTGTTTGGTTTTCCATGGTAAGCGTGTCTCTTCGCAGCGTGCCGCAACTTCAAAGTCTGAAGAGGGTGAGGAAGATGAAACTGAACAAGAATGTCATTTCCTTTCCTGTATATACAGGTCCAGCCACACTTATATGCTCCATGTGGTGCTACAGGCATTGCCTTGACTACATACATGTAAATGTATCTACAGCTCCGGCGATCCACTAGCCACGGGTCTTTGAACCTTGCAGAACAACTTACGTAGCGTCAGCCGTTGGAAACTGAGTCACAACATACTCACTAGATCCATCAGTGCAGTAAAAATCCCTTTCTCTCTTCAGCCATAACAATTGATCCTTTTAAAACTATGCATATGACTTTATAGTAAAAAGGCTCAAAGTTTTCAAACCTTTGACCTATATCTCTGTGACAGTCTTTATCACTGATGACCTGATGAAGTCAGGTTCCTTTACAGCTGCGTGTGATGTGATGTATGTTCCTCTGTTAGGCACAAGGAAGATCAGAATCATTGCTTAAGAAGTTAGAGAAATTGACAGTTGTTAAGACTACTTTTACTGCTAAACACTAGAATATGTTTCTGAAAACCTTGAGAAAGGAAAAGGCAATGCAATAACAAGTATTGATTCAGAATTGATCAGAACTCTTGTAGTTCATCTTGCCATGGCCTGATCCATGAATGTGGCTCACATCACACACACCACACACACACACCCACACACACACACACACACACACACACACACACACACAGCAAACACACACACACACACATTTCCTGTGGCTTGAAGTTGATCGTCACTCAAAGTTCACCAAGTGGTTTCGATATGATTGTAAGTGATGTAACCAGATCAGCAAATGTTTTCATGCCCCCCCTATGATTATACATCCATATGTTGAGCTGTATGGTTACTACACACTTATGGTTGGAAGTCGGTCCACACTCCCTCACTCACGACAAAATTTATTTTATTGAACAGTGAGTTTTGATCTGCACAGTGATGAAGACGTTATACCTAAATCGTGGGCTCTCACTTTCATATGATACTACAGGGCTCGGAAATTAAGAGTTCTTAGACACCCCGGCCAGCTAACGTAGATATCTGTTGAACTTGCTGCTTGGGTCAACTAAAAATATTGCTTTAAAAAAATGTTCCTGGTGGTATTGGTGGGTGAAAAGCAAACAGCTGTTTGCTGCGGAGCGCAGCACGAGCAGTCTCCCGTGAGCGGGAGCGCGCTCCTTCACTACAGACTGTCGCGCCACCTAACCATTCGCCAAAATGTTTTTAAGCGCCGGGCAAAAAACTATCTTAAAATAAAAGAAAGTCACCGGAGGAGTTAAAGGAGAGTGACAAGGAGTATGAGAAGAAGAAGGAGAGAAAAATCTATCTCTCTCTCTCTCAATCTATCTCTCATTCTATAAGGAACTACAGTAGACAAAAGGCGTTGCTATAGCAACACGTCATGTTTGTTTACACGCAAAATCAATAGCGCGAAAAGGGGTGGGGTCAATATGACCCGCTTGGCGGAAATAGGTATAAATGGCAATTCTTTTGCCGATTTCTTCAATCTGACTTCATATTGACAATTTTTAACAACATAGGGTGCTACATAACACACTTTCAGGAAAAGTCACGGACTGGGAGACTTTAATATGTTATTGAAAAAAAGTTACATACAATAAAAAACAGCTCTGGGTCAAATTGACCCCGTTGGCGGTTCTAGTGTTAAAAGAGGGCTCACACTTAAACTCTCCAAATCAGACATTCTTTATTTGTCTAAAATTGGGGAGACTTGCATTGTGTCAGGCAGAAACAGCTTCAAAAGATTATCACACGTTAATAAAATAAGTACCATCCAAGCTATGGAAGTAAGTAACAACATTATTAAAGTTGCACCCTAAAAATCTAATGACATTAAATGGGAGATCCCACCCTTAATCTGTGATGTCTAAAGCAGTCCAGATGTTATTTTGTGTCCATGAAAACACTTTCCCTCATGTTGCTGTTTGAGGTGATGTCTTTGTGTGTTATACATGAGAGTACAAAGCGCCAAAACAACAGTCCAGGTGCAAAAACAGAACATGGTGACAGGAACAGAACAATGGCTATGTTTGTCATTCCTACTCACAAAACATTCCCCCCAAAAAGCGTGACGGCAGGGTCACACAGAGCAGAAACTGTCAATTGCATCAAAGCCTGTTCAGAGTTGTAGTCGATGCTTCCTCCGCCTCTTCTACGATTGATTTCTCTTTGTGTCGTTATTGAACACTGCTGTGAAATTGCGAGTCACGAACGAAACCGTCACTGTTTGATTTTGTGAAAAGGAAAAGTGGACGAGAATTTATTTTGTATCAAACATTCGAAAGAAAAGTCTTTATTTTTCTCATTATTCGGAGGAACAGCTGGCTCCAATTACTCATTTCAATGCGTCACTTAATTGGCTCTACTCGGGGAATTACTTTTCCATGCCTTAATATTGAACATTTGATAAACCCTGCACACACACAGATAAGAGAGGCACCAACTCTGCTATGATGTGTCTCTTTACTCTCCCGGTACATAGCCAATTAAAGTTGTGACTATAATAGATGTTG